CATCCTCTTGTAAATATTTTACTTGAAAATAAGAATTATTTAAATGGGTGAATGAAACAACTGTTGAATCAATGTTATATTATTAGAGTAAATCCACAAAAATGTCATTGTAGATTATCTATCATACAAGGATAATAGGCTGTTTATGTTGCGTTAATCAGCCAAAAGTACTTATACATATACATAGTTAGTTCAAGGAAAATTTATTTTCAACAAAAATGCAAATTGATAGCAAAACATGAAAACACATTTTCATTTGTACACAGTAACTTAAGAGAAAATTAATGATAATAAATTTAGACAAAAATTGAATTTTTGCTATTTCACTAAAAAAAAAGAAAGAATACTAAATATGCAATCTACACGAGTCCATTTTCAGGGTTTTAATTTAACAGTTTATCATAAAGAAAAATGTATTACTTTCATCTACCTTTATTTCGAACGCTTATACATTACAAGCAAACCATCAGATTTTAACAAACATTGACATTCACATATTCACAAAGAGGCGAGCAGACATATGAAAAAGACGACTACAATTGTACACACAATTACGGAGATGTGCATAGAAATATACTCTAAGAAATATTACACTACGCAGTATAAAGGTATCAAAAAAAGTTAGGCAGGAAGAACATATATATATATATATAGATATACATTAGCTTTTCCTCTTTTTTCACTATAGAAACGATAAACAATGACGTTTTTCTAAAGTTTTCATCACATTTTTTTCCGTTTTTGTTTCATTTGTATAAGAATACATTAGCCTATTTTTACAAACCAGCTTGCTGACTGCCTGTTCCTTTTCTTTCCTACCTACATTTTCTTTGGCTGTCTCTCTTTTACACATCATAACTAATGGTTAAGTTGATGTTGATGATGATGATGATGATGGTAATGATGATCATGGCATACCAGACTGAAAAGTGATTTATCATCCTTGTAAGGCATGATTTACAAACTAATGGAAAACAGACGACTGAACAAAATGAAATGCGGACTGTTTCCCTCAATATATATATATTCATATATATAAATCTCTTTTGCATGCTCATGCTTTTACTCGCTTTATATGAGCGGATGAATTTGTAGTTATACAAACAAACGAAATAAAAACACTAGTAAAAAGTGGATAGAAAAGATGGTAAAGTTTTTCAGACAAAAAAACTACATATATGTATGCTTTAATAGTTCTACTTATGTAAAAACATGAATACGTAATATGATGTGTACATGCACGTAATATCTAAAACAATCTTTCAGTATTCGTTTTACCCACGACTAGGTTTCCGATCATAAAATAGCATTAACTTTTTTAATTTATGACTCAATTTCTGGAAACAAAATAGTGGTCAACAATATATATTAAAACTAAGCAAATAGGATAAGATAGTTTGATTACTGAATGTGAAAATGTTCCTTTCGCTGGTGAATTGCTCGATGGGTGAGAATCCCTTAAATCTGATAAGTCATCAGTTCTAAGAACACTCTGGTACGCTGTACTGTCCAGATTCTTTGAATAAAACCAATAATTTTCGTTTGTTTTTTGCTGAAATTTCTATGCGTATTAGTTTACACAAACGGTTCAGATAACTTAGTTTCTTTCACCAACTTCAGTCATTCTGCCAACCACAAAAACCGAAAAAAAATTTCTTCCTAATAGGGGAAGTGTTTAAACAACTGATTGAAAAAAGCCATAAGGAATTTATTGTTGAGCATAAAAACAATCCAATTTAATCATAGGAAAACATACAACTGAAGCGAAAAGAAATTTTTCCCTTCAACCAAATCATTCTCTTAGTTATACATTCGTGAATATGTAATAAAAAGGATAGAAATTTCCAGAGTAACTGCTGGTCAAAAGTTACGTAATGAGGAGATATATAAAATGATTACAGTGTAAGGGTGGTTACGTCATGTGTGGGTTATTTAAAGTGACCGATAAGTTACGAAAGCCATGATCAGGGGAGAGTTTGTGCAGACTTCTGAACGCAGAATAATAGTCTGAATTTTTGAATCGCTAATGCTTCACCTATGCATAGATGTCTTAGCTTTACTCCATTCAGGTGGGCTTGTCAAACGGAGCCAAATGTCCTGAGTTTACTAAGTGTTCTGCTGCAGAGCTGAGGATGTATTACCATTCCGCACTTGTAAGCAAAGTTGGACTTTGTTCGCGATCGCGTTGCATAAGCTGGTGTATGCAGCGGCCTATGTACTCGGTTCCACAGGAGCAAGTAAAGTGACTTTAGGCACCTACTTCAAAACTTAAGTAGTGCTCATTCTTTTTTCAACTTCATTCGAGAAGAGGGATCGAACTCGAAATCTTACTTCCTTGACGTCCAACTTCAAAGAAAAGACGGCAGTTAACTTGAAATCTATTTGCAGAAAGCCCACATGGAGCGGGCGGTTTATTAGCTTTCAAAGCTGTGTGTTCTTATCCAGAGAGAGGAATCCTATCAATTCACTCTCCTCAAGAATACGAAGAATATGTACAGAGGATGCCATCGAAGATTAACTAGAAAAATGTTACAGATACTAATTAAAAAACAGATACCCAATGAAATTTATAGCGAGGAGTCTGAAGCCGAAAAATGCCACAGTACGCGTTCATACTGCTCCGAAAAAACATTTTACTACTGAACCTCAAATTCAGTAGAGGTACTGTAGCAGATTTACGTAGAAAGAGACTGTCAAGGTCTGCAAAAGGAACATTTTTAACTGATAATCCTAGAATCTCATTCTCGTGTCAAAAACTTATTCGTCAGCAGACAAAAGATAAACTGAAGCATTGGGCCACATCTGTGTGTATATCAGTTTACTTGCTCCTGTGGAACCGAGTACATAGGCCGCTGCATACACCAGCTTATGCAACGCGATCGCGAACAAAGTCCAACTTTGCTTACAAGTGCGGAATGGTAATACATCCTCAGCTCTGCAGCAGAACACTTAGTAAACTCAGGACATTTGGCTCCGTTTGACAAGCCCACCTGAATGGAGTAAAGCTAAGACATCTATGCATAGGTGAAGCATTAGCGATTCAAAAATTCAGACTATTATTCTGCGTTCAGAAGTCTGCACAAACTCTCCCCTGATCATGGCTTTCGTAACTTATCGGTCACTTTAAATAACCCACACATGACGTAACCACCCTTACACTGTAATCATTTTATATATCTCCTCATTACGTAACTTTTGACCAGCAGTTACTCTGGAAATTTCTATCCTTTTTATTACATATTCACGAATGTATAACTAAGAGAATGATTTGGTTGAAGGGAAAAGTTTCTTTCCACTTCAATCGTATGCATTCTCCAGTAGCTGAATACATGTTTTGACTTATTAGAAATGTGTGCATTATATATTATATAAACACTGATGCAGCCGAATAATATGCTTACTTCAGGTATATCTTTTTGAATAAATGGATGAAAAACACACCCATGCGTAATTTACAAATGAGTGTTGCATTGTTTCAGAAGTCACCTAAAATTTGACCTAGTCATATTATGATGTTTTATTGTCAGCATTCTTCAATTTTATGATCCAAATAAAAAAATGTCACTCGGCTGTTTATTAATAGTAAAAATGCTAAACAACTTAGTAGAAAGATATTTAGACAGTGATAGGTATCTCATGGTAACTGCAGATTGTATATTATAATCCATCGGTACACAAAAGTTAGCGGTAGGCTGTTGTTCATTCACAAATTGAAAATCTGCATTGCTTGATATACAGATTTACCCCTTTATTCTTCTAATCAACTATTTTTCCAAAAGAAAAAGCATTGTTAACTGACTTAACAGGTGACATGAAGTTGAAAGATGATAATGGTCAGGTATTCCATATAATGCTTAAAATTTTCAGTATTGTCTTCATGAATAAACTACTTTAACGCTTCCGGATGCAACATTTATAATTCAGTGACGTACTAATAAAAGCAATTAATTATTAGGCCTAAAACTGATGATTTATTTGGAACAAAATCACTCTCTCAGAAATAGGTACATCTAAATGATGAGTCCTAAGTGGGCTGAAACACCTGTACTGAATTTTTCGAATATCCACTATCCATTATTATTATGATTATTCACTTTTTTTGAAGTGATCAGTGAATATTTTTTTCTTCACCTGTTTTTACACCATTGTATCTTAAAACCACTGATAACAGCAAAGCAGTTTTGAAATCTTTAAGATGGAGTTATGCCTCGAAAAATACTTCATCTAATTACGTGAATTATATAGTGTTTACCAAGAAGAAGTATTGTATATCATCTACTTTAGAAGCATACAATTATTCATTTCTTTTTCATGTGCTGGTTCTCAAAGAAAACAGTATGCACTTATCAAGTGCCATTCTTTTCTGTTTTGGTCATTTACAAAATTTTTTACAACTTGTTGCCTACATTGTATTATCTTAAGTAGAATGGTTTGAAAGCTTTTTTTAGTGTTTCAGTACTCTGACATGAAACGTGGACATATTGAGTGACGAAAAGGTTCTGATTCCAGTCGGTGCAAGTAATCAGCTTTTCACGTAAAAGCTAGTTTGAGGGAAGAAATATTCCTTTCTTTCGCGAATATAGGATGCAACATATATCGAAAACCAGTGAAGGTACTTTTATAGCTTTGTACCCTTGAAAGGTAAACGTAACCCGATGAAATGCTTGGTTCATCATGCAAAAAGTATTTACTGTGGTGACGTCATAGAAGAGAAGCTTGACACTATAGGTAGCCTGTTTAGTATGGACGGAAATTGTGCCAAATTCCTGGTCATGCCCGTGAAGGAAATTAAGATTCAGCTGAAGACGAGCACAGTTTCTCGAAACTTAAATTCGAAAGCGATATCAGTAACCAGCTTATAAATCAACGTTTTTGAAGAGATTTTTAAAAAGTGCTCAGTGCTGCTAAGTTGTCCTATCTTATTTATATTCATGTATCACTTATCTGACACAGTGTGATTAACACGTTGATCAATGCTTGTTTTAAAATTTTTAAACCAGTTGTTCGCCGAGATAGTCTCAAAGGTCGCCGAGGTCGTTTATCATCTAAAGCACGTTGTCAATTAAATGAACATGGTGGATTAGCCAACTGTTACAGTGATAGTAACATGAATAAAAATTTACTACCATTACATAGTTTCCTGCACAAACGAAATAGTCTATCACCAAACTTATCAACAATAACCGGCAAACGATACCCAGGTTCGAATATGCATATGAATGCTTCAAACAGGACAAATTCATGTACCGTAAATTCAACGGTCACACTGTTGTCGATGTTAAGCAGAGCATATGAAGTTGTAGGCCCAAGAAATCATCCGTTAATCACCATTACTGATGATGCTGTTGCCGACAGGAATGAAGAATCAAGAGAGTATGGAGGGTGTATTGGAGGAAGGGAATTGCATATTTCTTCACCAGATGATATAAAGGTAAGTGAAGATTAAAATTTGTTTCTGGTGAAATCTTTTAGTCATTGAAGTTAATTTCTCTGAATGATGTACGAATCAACATCTTGAGTTCTGCCTTGAGATTTGGGTTAAGAATTCTTAATTATAGTTATTTCGTTTAAGTTTTCAAATCAGTATCACCGAAATATGATTAAGGGAAGATAATTCTGACAATGACGGAAAAGTTGAATTTTCAGAATTTCACCAGTGAAAAATTCACAAGTAATAATAATGATAAACTCCAAGTTTCAAACTTTTCTTTAGAGGTTTGATAAATATGGAAACGGTGTATCCATACTCAACTGATTATAATGGTTGATAACTTGTTTAAATAGTATGAAACAAGACTGAAAATACAATGGAAACTATTAAGCTCTTTTTTTAATGTCATATTTAACCACCAACGGTTCTACAGCAGGCTAAATGGCATTATCAGTGTTAACTTCATAAAGAAGAACGCTAATAGGTTGAAATTATGCTTAGGAGGTGAATTTTGACCCAGAATAATACACATTTCAGATGAAAGAAGTCCTTTTGCTTTCGATATCTTGGATTCTATGCTGGAAAAGAATCTTTATTCATAAGAAGCTGAGGTGACTTTGTTGCTGTTATCATTCTGAATCACACAGATTTATTGCAATATTTTTGATTAGATGGGGGAGAACTGCCTTTCTCATGACTGAACTTGAAATTACCTCCATAAACCCACATTTCCATTCTCTAAATATGCATCTGAAATGCATAAATCTCAAGATTTCTTTGCATTCTCTAACTCTGCATGTTTTAAGAGTTGTACATTCTAATACAAATATGATTATAATTGTGAGGATACATTAAGACTTCTGCTTTTGTATCGTATCATTTTGCTGCTAATTGATGTTCACAAATTTTTAAAATAATCCAGCGGGTGCACCAAATGAAATCGTGCTCTCAGACCTCTCTACAGATAATTTGTGAACTAGATTTGTTCTTTTATTCTATGTTAATAATTTGTTTTGTTTACGAAAGAATATTCTACATCAGTTTCAGTAGATTGCAAGAAATGGTGGGTAAATTAATTGTTTGTATATCTTAAAGAAGTAATGGACTTCTCATAAGTTTATCCTCTTAGTGAGATGATTGAATTGTTTAGTGTCCTGTTGATACTTTTTGATAAGATTCAGTGAATAATCGATAATTATCAGCACTTTGTACAAGATCAATGAAAAGTTTGTGCATTTCGGGATGGATTAGTGTGTTATGAGTAAACTTTTCATTAAATATTCACCCATAACAGATCAAATATTAACTGCAGATTTCTGTGCTGCTGATGTGTTTAATCAGTTTTGATTCTTGAAGATTATGTTAACTATACAAGCTTCCCCTAAAGCTATTGGATAGTACTTGTTTGGATTTGAAATGTGACTGGCTTGTGTGGTTGTTTTTCAACCCTTCGATCAAAAAGGGGTTTGTCACGCGTTCTTCTGATGATCGTTTCTTGGAATGCCTGGTTTATGAACTCCGACACTCTTTTTTTATTCAACTTGCCACAAGTACCATGAAATTGTTTGCAGCCTATCTGTCTTAATTTTTATACTTTTGAAACTGAGATAACATTTTGTCTGAGTTGGTCCATAAGATTTACCGCACAGTGAAACATTTTAATTACCTTGTAACGTCATGGACACAACTTACTGTCCATAGTCATGCCAAGATAAATCCACAATTCCGAAACATGACTTATATAGCTCGAATTTTCCTGCCTCTTTTGTAATATGGGTAGTTGTATATTTCATACATCCGAAACAGGCGCTGGGTCATTCCTGTTGCATGCACTAGGTTTAAATTTGATGAACAAAGACTCAGTTACCAATCTCTCCCTGTACCTATTAGACTGGTTTTGAGGATTTTCACTCTGTTCTATTGTGTGTTTGTCTGTAATTGTATGCGTAGCTATGACCGAGCTTTTAAATTCCTGATTTTACTAGGATCTACAAATGTTGATTTAGCTAGCTTTTTTAACTTCACAAATGATGTGAGGGATTTTGTAAACTATTCATGAAATGACTGTGGACTTCTACTTCTGTATTAACACTAAGCAGTCCGTTGTTAAATTTTTGATCCAGTTTGCATCCGTTTAGTTTATAAATGTCATCGATATTTTTCAGCTGCCTTTCAGAGGACAAATAAATCTCTTTTATAGTGCTGAAGACAAAGGCAGTGCAATATATCAATCAGCTGGTCTGCGTTTAAAATACTTACAGGCAATATGGTAATTGAACTACACTTTTGCCGCATCTACAGTAACCTACTGATTGTTAATAGCTTCGTTATTTCAGTTAGTTACCACAAGAAAAATGACTCATTACTGACTGAATTAATAATTCATGCAGAATTATTAATTCTTGAATTAAGATAGTCACGCAAACCAGAAGACTTCATGGAGAGTGAAACAGTACCACTTAAAAGTAACTTATGTATCCTTTCCACTACTATCAACAACACTTACCTCCTCTTATTTACCTTATTAGTGAAAACGCGTTACTCATAAAACATCAATCAAAATAAATCTCAAGGAAACTGATGTCATTTATTTAATATTTCCAATCCTTGATGATTGTACTATTATCATAAATGCGTGATTATTCTGATGGCGTATTTCATGCTGGTAATTTATGCTTGACTAATGATGATCACACTATCTAACCAAATCATATATCATTGAATTAGCACCTGCTGTGTTAACAAAATTTCAGTAAACTGATCCTAGTAAGTAAAAAAAAATCTACAACAAGATGCTAGAATAAACAACTGGGTTGATGTTAGTGAAGGTGAAAAATTCAACCAACAATTGAGGTTAAATAAATTGTTAAACTATTATTCAATCAATGTTTCCATGATTGATATTGTGTTGCATTCTAATGAAGAATATGTAGTCATTGCTGATAACAAATCAAAATGTGTGCATGCATGCAAATAAGCTTGCCTTTGCTTATAAACGAAAGCAACTTGAAGGCAGAAACATTCAGCCATATGAAGTGTTAAACTGACCAAATAAAAAATAAACATAAACGTGGATGATATTAGGTAGCATAAATGTTTTTTGGTTTGTATAAATACAAACGTCGAATACATGTGTAAAGGCAAGGTAGTAAAAGCTGCATTCCTTGGTTTTTAGTCGTTTCATTCAACTTAATATAAGTGTTTACAACTAATTCAGATAGATTTGTAACCTATAAGAAAACTAAGAAAGCGGTACTTTTAGCCTTTTTGCCATAGATATCGAATTCAGTCCTCAAAGATAATCATTATTATTCATCGAAAATTTGTGACATGAGAAAACAACCAAGTCCGAAATAGAAGAAAAACAGAACCCCGAGAATATCTAAGGTGGACACTTATTTGAAGTGGAAATATGAGAACCACGTACACTGTAGTCTAAAGCTGAAGACATCTTAGCTCGCTTTGTGAGGGCTCGAAAAGGGAAACCCGGTGGTTGTCGGTTCGAAACCAACAGCAGTCCAAATTTTACTTCCACTTCAGTCATCACCCAGTATAAAAACAAGTCTCCAAAACTACGGCTACCTCAGATAGTCAAATAATAATCAAGACAAAGAGTTTTGACGGTTACGATTTGAAAAATGTTGAAATTTCCGACCGTGTGATGCTTGTGTGAAAAAAAAATCTGCACCACGACGGGATTCAAACATGAGACATCTAAGCTATCGAGTCTGCCGACCGAGCTACGAAACCCAACAGCACACTAGACCTTAATTTATAAACACTCACTGATACGAACCTCATCTTATCCAAAAAAGTTAGATTTGTATTGGGATGGGGAAGACTTGGATGAGTATCAAGTATGAACACGATCAATCGAGAGTAGCACCTGCTTAACAGGTTAAGTAGGTACCAGCCAGTTTAGGCCCGGGTAAAGAGGGAAGGTTGGACATAGGGCTAGCAACCCTACCACGTAAAACCAATCCAACAGCTCAAGAAACTTCAAAGCACAAACAAAATATAAAAAATGAAAAGAAAATTATTCCTCACTGGAATCAGTGAGGCGAAATGAAGCCGGTTGGTGAAAGCAATCAAAAAGCAAATTGACCGCTGTGTCCTCTCACTCTCTCTCTCTCTCCATGATGAAGGCAAAAGTAAGCATAAGGATATCGAATGTTCACACCATATATGAACCTAGCAGGGCTGCCCAGATTGCCAAAGAGATGACAAGATAGAGCATAGAAGTGCCAGGCTGGGAATCTGTGAAAGTAGGTGGAAAGGAAGTGGACCCTCCTAAATGTCAACTGGAGAGGAGTCAATAATCTACTCCGATATTATCACTCAGACGACAACCACGAGTACACTGAGTATTGGAGTGGTCATCATGATGTCCACAACAGCATCGAAGGCTATCTCTCATGCAGTGGGAACCAATCTCCTCCAGCAGCAGGATCATGACAGCAAGATGGATCCAAATCAAAAAGAAGGAAAGTCACAAACATGCAATGCTACGCTACGCACCAACAAACAATGCAGATGAAGAGAAGAAGGAGGAATTCTGCAATCAGCACTAGACAAGACTCCAGTTGGTGACATCAAGATTCATTCTCATGGGTGGGGTGACGTGAATGCTAAACTCGGAGCGGACAACACAGGAAGGGAACTGGTCATGGGTCGAGAGGCACTCGATGAAACGATGAATGTGAATGGAGAACTCTTAACAGATATCTGAGCGTTCAGTGACTTGGTGATTGGAGGCAGTGAGCAAAAACACAAGAATATTCACAAAGCAACATGGATTCCACCAGACACCAGGACACACTAAAAATCAGATCGAATTCATCTCAATGTGATGAAAGTGGAGACGTAGCCTACTGCACACAAGATGAAGAAGAGGAGCGGATGTAGGCCCACACCACTCACCATCTAGTACAAGGAAGCTTCCAAATCAAGTTGGAAGCCTTCAAAGAAGCTGATGATAGACGACCATAGTTCAAATCCAACGACCACCCAGAACAGAAGGTGAACTGAAGGATGAAACTACCAGGGAAATCTTCACCTCAGCCATCAGACTAAAACGCGACACATTGAGCAACATCCCTGAAGAAACCTGTGTAGATGGACACTGGAACCATTGAAAGAGATGTGGAAAGACACCTGCACAACCATTTCAGGAAGGAAGAGGAAACAAGACAAGCAATGGATCTCGATGGGTACATGGAAGTTGAAGGAGTAGGGAGAGGAAACTGGTGAAGCAGAAGATGAACCAGTGCTGTGCAGTGTGGTGGTGCAGGGATGAACAATGAGAAGAGCAACTGAACACAACCTACGAAACACCACACTCGACAAGGAAGTGAAGAAGAATGCACGCAAAGACAAACGACACTCCTACGACACACTTGAGAGAGAAGTGGAACAGGCTGCAGATAAAAGAGACAGAGACCTGATAACATTATATCAAATAACCAGGTCACTATCTGCGAAGAGATCAACGCAGATGAAACCAATGAAAAATAGTGAAGGAGACTTAGTTAGCAAAGAGGAGAAACAAAGAAAGCGATGGGCTGACCACTTCAAAAAACTCTTGAATCGACAACTACCACCACCACATAGAACTCGTCGAGAAATACCAAACACCACAAGACCAGTCACACAAATATCAGTGAACACAAGCCCTCCAACAAAGTAGATTTGAGTTCCTGAATGCCATAAAGTTGTTGAAAACCGGGAAAGCAGAAGGCTCATATGGAATTGCTCCGGAAGCACTGAAAACAGATGCAGAGTTATCAGCGGACATGCTGACACAACCAATGCAGAAGATTTGCAAGGAAGGAAAGGTACCTGCCCGCTGTTTGAAGGAAAAGCCACCTAAGTATTTGCAAGAACTGGCACGGAATCATGCTCTTGCCCCTGTCCGACCAAAGGAAGCAAAATATTTAGCCGCATCATCCAGGAGAGGTTAAGAGATGCGCTAGATTCAAAATAACGACCGCAACAAGCTGGCCGGCTTCGGGAAACAAAAATCATGTTCGGATCAAATTCCAGCGCCACGCTACGCTTCATCATGAAATGGAACATAGAATGGCAATCAAGTCAACTCAACCTCAACTTCAACGACTTTGAAAAGGCCCTCGACAGAGTCGACAGAGAAGCAATTTGACAGGCAGCTGCTTCAACACTACGCTTTTAGTGCCACGAATCTTTATCAACCTCATTCAACAGCGATTTATGCTGTAGGATACTACATGCCTAGTGATTGACAATGGAAGCTCAATGATGACTTTGAAGTGAAGACAGGATTAAGACAAGGTTGCAGCCTACAACCACCGATGATCTTTCTGAATGTGGTGCACTGGATCATGCAGCAGACAACTGTGAGCAGTGAGAATATGGACATACACAGGCTGGACAGAAGAAGAGATCCTTGAAGATTTAGATTTCGCCAATGATGATTTATATCATATATATACATATATATATGTATATGCGATTGTACAGCTTTAAAATAAATTCGTTGAAAAGAGTCTCTTCACTGAATATCTTGTTCTCAATGATGATTTATGTCTAATTTCATGTTGCACAAACTCGAAAGTCTACAGACTAAAACTAACAAGTTGATAGAAGAATTAGTGAAGATGGGACTTCAAGTGGACATGGAGAAGACAGAGGTGATGAAGATACCCAAACAACAACAACAACAACAACGACAAACACCAATCACCATCAACGGGAGAAATCTAAAGGAGGTAGCCTCTTTCACCTACCTACATAGCATCGTTTCAACCACAGGTGGTGGCACACATGAGGATGTCAAAGCAACCAGGATCGGAAAGACAGCAAGACACGCCTTCATTAACCTGAAACAATGTGTGCAGATCTACTGAACTACACTTTACTCAGCATAAAGCGTGAACCAGATCCTGATTTTCAACACTGATTCAGTCAAGTCAATGCTTCTATGTGACTGTTGAGAGAGTTGGCGGTGCGATACGAAAAGCACTTCCAACAAACTACAGACACTCATCAACAGGTGCCTCCTACGCTCACTCGATACTGACACTGAAGATCAGATGGATTGCCAGAATAATTAGAATAAGCAACGTGGAACTGTGGCTAGCTTGCTGACTGGCTGGGCTGGCTGGCTGGCTGGCCTGGGCTGGTCTGGCCTGACAACGAACCAACCAAGAACCTGTTGCCAACAAATATGCAGTGGAAGGAGTGGAGATGGATTGGGCATACACGGAGAAGAGCATTGGGAGACATCATGTGGCAGGCCAGGCCGTCGAGTGGAATCCAGAGGGAGACGACGAGTTGTGTGTCGGAGGTGAGGGTGATGTGGAGGAGATGATGTGAGGAAGAAATGAAAGCTTGTGGTTAGTGGTTGAGCGATGTTGAGAAGACTGTAGAGAAGAGAGTGTGATGGAGGTGTGCTACTGAAGTCCTATTTTCTACTAGCATCCAAGGGACTGATATTTAAAATAATAATGGATAGTTCTTAGCAAAGATCTTGAACAAATTCATGCAAATCAATATCGTTTAGGTTTACAAACTGATAGTGAAGAGCATTACTAATTCGGTTTGCCTTTTCTACTTCTAATATTAAAAGTATGCTGCGTGCAAACAAGGTATTTTCCAGTTAGTTCTCCTCAGACTTTGCTCGATCTGTATACGTAGTGATGATACGAATATGAAGAGTGGCATGGTGTTGTTAACAACTATTCAGACAGACAAGTAGGTCAAAGGTTAGAAAAGGACAGTAAGCTTGCATAATGTTAAAGGTTGAAATCAGCGGATAAACAAAACTCGAGGATGAATATAACGAAGGCTGACAAAAATAAAACTAAGAAGAGGAATATAAGTATTTCACAAAACTATAGACCAAGTAGTTCATTAATTCTTTCATAACCAAGGATGCGACTAAGACCCTAAACATTTCCTTTCGATACAGAAGTTGGAATAATTCATTTGGTGGGATGTGGTAAATCCTTTTGAACAATTTCGTGGACACTATCAGTCAGATGCGACAAAAGTGAAGTTCTTACGGATTTAACTCGTGCTTTTTCAAAGCATGAAGGTAGTAGGAAATACGTTGAAGGTATTCGGCAGAAAGTTTTACTTGATGCAGGGTTCAAACTTGTTGGCACTCATCAGTAAGGTGCATCTGAAACTCAGATAATGAGCACCACCATAGTGAGCCTCCTGGCTTGGTGGCCAAATTTAAAAATGGCCGATAGTATCCGAACAGTAAATAAGACTAAAGAAAGTGATGTTTTACGGTCTCTAGTGACCAATCGGTGTATCTGACCCTGGCAGTCAGTCATGGCCTGAATGGCACAGAGACAACGCCTGAGACTTCAGCATTGGGTGAAGTGGGCTTACATCGTAGGCGAAACATCATTTTCGTCGAGGTTTCAGATATGCCTTACTGACGAGTGGCGGAAAGCACGAAATCTAGGTCTAGAGTTTCCTGTAGACTCCCCTCATCCAACTAACATGTTTACCGGTTAATCGTCAACATGAATAAACCATTTCAACTTATAGGGCATTTGATGAATTGAAATACTCCCTTGTGAAACTTTTGCATCAGATGCAACTTAATTGGAAACTTTTAAAATTGGAAGTTAAAACAAATCCCTCCGTTTTCTACATTTTCCATGGGAACTGTTTAATGTCTATCTAGATAGTCAGGAGGGTTAAATAACTCAGATGGTGGATGATATGACTTTTTCATCTAAAAATTAAGTTCCGTTATAATACTACAGAAGCAACGTTAACTGATCATCTCAGACTGGATATGATAAAATCTTGATATAATTATAAGCATTACATTATGTTGAAAACATTTCCCAGCAAGTAATATTATATTGTTGTGTTAATATAAATTGGATTATTCTAACATGAAATTACACTCTACCGAAGCTTTCAAGTTCTATATTTACACAACCATGTAATCGTTTGTCAAAAACCTGCTAAACACTTTGAGAAACGACATTGCACGCTTTTCAGTCAGG